TTGGCCGACGTCTGTGGAGAGAATTGAGGAGTATTTTTTTTAAAAATTAAATATATATAATTATTTTATTTATATTTAAAATAAAACACTCAATTGAATAATTGATAGCCCCATGTAGCGGGGTATCAATCAGTTGTCGTAGATAAGGGAATTGACAATGGAGAAAATTGGCAGAGGATTTGACTATTTGAGCGGTTGGCCGACGTCTGTGGAGAGAATTGAGGAGTATTAATGGGCCCTGCTGGGTTAGATGGGTTTTTACTGGAAAGAAATTAGGGAATCGATGATAGAGAAACAGATAGGCAGACTAGTGGGATTTTAGAGTGGATCGGAGGATAGGATGTAAAGCTGTAAAGATAAACTTTTTTTTTTTTAAATTCTTTAATTTCACTTTGTTAGGGAAAAAAAAAAACAAAAATAGTAAAAGAATCACAAAAAAGTGTTTTGTAAGACATGCTATGCATTAAATGTGTAGGTTGAGTTATAAATTTATTAAAATATTTTTAATTAAAAAATATAATAAATAAATTTATTAAAAATATTTTAATAAATTTATAGAATAAATTTCACTTTCAATCCAACAAAGAATAAAAAAAAAAAGTAAAAAGAATGAAGAAAGTGACAAAAATTGGAAACCAAAACTTAGAAAAAGAGAACTACATTTTGAGAAAACTATTTGTTCCAAAAAGTAACAAAGTCAATGTTAGACTTTTTATAAAGAGGGTCAAAATAACTCAAGTCAAGGGTCTTTCAATTCTCTCCATACATCACTCCCCGCAATTGCTTGCAGGTTTCCTTGTTTACATTCGCTTGACCACATTTATCAAGTAAATGTGAAAATTAACATGCAATAAATATGATGCATGTACATGTCAACATGTAATATAAGAGTGGAAGAATTTCAAAGTAAGAACTAATTTTTAGATAATTTAAATTTATGAATGAGATATAAAAATTTTAAATTAAAAAAGTAACATGAAAAGATCCACAATTTAGTAAATAGATAAGAATTTCTTTCTTAAATTATTTGTAATTACTTATAATTTTTCAATTATATTTTTATGAAGAAAATTCTTGCAACCGAGGTCTAGGGTTGATTGGTAAGCTCATCACAATCAATTCAATTGCTTCCTCACTGATACCTTGCAAATTAGTTTCGCTTTTAGCTTTACTTGTTGTAGTATAAAATTAATAAACCATATTCACTTAAAAGGTCAACTTGCAAAGTTTAATTTTGCTATTTAATCTTTTCCTTATTTAGATTATAGATGAATAGATCCTAAACTTTTTATTAATCTATTCTCTTTCACATCACTATTTTAATTCTCATAGCAATATACATGAAAATTAACCTACAATAAACATGGTGCATATGTGTGCCAATCTTTAATATGAGTCGAAGAAATTTTAAAGTAGGAGTCAATTTTTGGACAAAATAGCATACCATTGATGAGTTAATTTAACTCTAACAAAAGTATTAGTCAGTTTAAATAATATAATGATAAAAATAAAGTATCGTCTCAAGACTAAGTAAGTATCAAAATTAATTTATTCTAATTTTATTTAAATAGTTATAATTAAATGATTTGAATAAACTAATTAAAGAAAAAAATAAATTGACTTTATGTAAAACTAAGAGTTAAAATTCTAAGACATTCGATTTCACTATAATAAATCAATATAAAATTTAAATTAATATACTTTTAAGGCATTTATTATTCATATGAAGTGGGATTTTCTACTCTATTCAATATATTTTCTTGAGTTATATTAAATTTATTCTCACTTGTTAACTCACTATATCTTTATGTGAATTTAAATAGATTAAGATGTATTGTATTCTATGAAATTCTCTAATTTATGTAGACACTTATCATTAGTGCTGCATGAATCCACATTAGTCCATCTTTAACTTTTGTTCAATTCATGATATACATCACTAGAAGCTATTGAATAAAATTTTCTCCAAGTCTCAATTATACTCTCCAAATTAATTTTAATGGTGATCAATCATTAAAAAGTGTTAAGAATAATAATATATATTTTACATAAAATAATAAACTTTGAAAGCATAAAAGTCATGAAATTCTATACTAAATTGATCATGTTACATTGTAGCTTTAGATGATTAAATTAGTTCATAATTAAAGAAAAGAAAATCAAATATCTCATAATATATATAAAAGTATCTAATATTATAAAATGAAATTCAAAAACAAGTAAAACCAATTTAATAATATAAGATTTCAAGTCTTTTGATTTTTTTTTTTTTTTTGTTGCTGTGGAATTCCTCTTAGCCATATCTCTCTTTGGTCTCCCACCAAAAGTCCCAAATCTGATTTTTGAATGGGTATTTATAGAGTTTAAGCAACTCTATTAAAAAAGAAATAGGGCTGAGACAAAACAGAAAACTTCAATGCTAGGCGCTCAATGCATGGTGCTGAGACCACAAATTACGTGTCGACACCACACCCATGTCGGGTCCTGCCTCTTTTTGCATTTTCTTCAATGGTAAAATAGCAGATCTGGTCCTCCATATTTTATACAATGCACTTTGATCCAGTAACTTAAGATTCATTCATCTAGGTCCCAAAAAGGCACCTTTCTCCTTGCAATTCAATCCCTCAACTTTCAAAAGATATTCGATTAATCTCAAAAACTCCTATAATTATGCACTTAAGTCCTTTTCTATGCTAAGAATGAAAACTATATACAATTTATTAAAAATCACATATAATCCTTGCAAATAGTAGTAAAATCAAAACTAATATAATAGATTTAAGCATATAAAATGCTTTCTCATCAACCACGAATGAGATAGTAGTACAAATTTGATTTTATGTAATGCCTATATAGCAAATTATTGATAAATTGTAATCTTTATATTATTAATATATCCTTGGAGAGCCCTCATTAGATAAAGTATATTAAAAAGAATAGTAAATTTTGCTGTTACGTAAATAGTAAATATCTTTAAAGTATAATAATTTAGGATTTATATTAATTGCTTATGATGAAGTCAAATGCCTTAACATATCATATCTTGGTAAATTTATTTTAAATTGTTACTTTTTTAAAATAGTTTTAATTAAAAATTCCTCTTTTTTTGTTTAAATAATTTTAGAATTAGTTATTTTTTGTACTTAATTAATTATAATTTTTATAGATTCAACACTCTTCTTATTACTTTATTACTTTATTACTTAAGTGACTAATACACTTGTTAGCAAATTTTAGCGTATCAATTTTTCTTAGGATAATGTACTATGAATCTCATCTATTCGTTTCTTGCAAAGTTCTAGTGAAATTGAAAATTAATATATAGCATTGATACATACATAACTTTCTAATCACAATAGTAGTTCATATGCAAACATCATCTATCAAAAGCGTGATGTAATTAATATCAATTAAGACCTCAAGAGGAAAAGAAAGGGCTGAGTTGAATCAAGTTGTAAAACACCAAGGCATTGATGAAGACTTGAATCATAATACCATGACCAAGACTCAATAAGTCTTTTGTTAATGTGAAAACTTGTCTTGTCAGATAGATCAAATCAAAACAATGAATGCAGAAAAATTAAAAGAGGTTATTTTCTCATGAGTTACATTTGCAAAGAGTGAAAGACTTGGGTGTTAAAACCCCAATTTGGTCATTTACTTTGATAAAAAAAACCTTTTTTTAATCTCTTTATTAAAAAAAAACATTCTTTTTGATCCTTAAAATTTGAAATATGACATTCTTTTAATCATTTTATTAAGTTTTGACATTAAATTATAGAAATTTCAAAGAAAAGGAACCAAAAAGGGATTTTCTTAAAAGTAGATGGACAATATTGAGGCTATTTTTAGCCTATTTTTGGCTCATTTATTATGAAATTTTCATTATCTAACGTGTCATATATGTAAAACCTAATAGAATGACTATAAAGGGGGCGGATTTCAAATGTTAGGGATTAAAAAAGAGTTTTTACCAAAATAGA